CAGCGGGCTCCCGCCCTGAGGAAGGAAGCGGCCTCCCTGGGCCGGCCTCCCCTGCTGCCCGTGGGGACAGAGGAGGGCGTTTGTGCCTGTTTAATCAGGACAATGGTGCAGGGGCTGACCCCCGGGGCCTGGGAAGGACACGCCAGAGGAGGTGGAGAGTGGCACGCGCCAGCCATGCCAGCCGGGAGGGCCCCTCGCTGGGGACCTGGCCTCTGTCCCAGCCCGTCCTCCTCAGCCTCTGCGTGACTATGGGCAGGCGCGTACATCTGAGTCTCAGTAACCCTGCCCTGTCCCTTGCAGGCCTCCTACCTGCTGCTCTGTCCCCCAGGCCTGCCCCACACCGGACTGCACAGGGACCTCCAACTCCCAAGTCTGACTGTCTCCTGTTCCTGCTCAGAACACCCCAAGGCTGCCAGGCACAGGGCAGCACACCTGTCATCCCAGCCGCTCGGGGGGCTGAAGCAGGAGGATCATGAGTTGGAGGCCAGCCTCAGCCACTTAGCGAAGCCCTGAGCAGCTCTGCGAGACCCTGTCTCTAAATAAAATATTAAAAGTGCTGGGGACAGGGCTCTGTGGTCGAGGACCCCTGATACCAGGAGACCCGTGGAGAAAGCAGAGCTGACCTGCCTCCCTAGGAGTCTGGCCCAGAGCGCAGGGCCACCGAGTTTAATCCCTGGTACCCTGCTCCTGCCTTCCACCTGGGAGGACCACAGACCTCTGTCCCCCACAGTCCAGCATGAAGGCCACCCCTTGCGACTCCTCTGCCTGGTAAGACAACGAGGCTTCCCAAGACGTGCATGGGGACAAAGCTTGACCCTGGCCGTGAAGCCCCCAACACCCAACGTCCCCAGCAGTCAGAGCAAGGAGCGGGTCCAGCAGGCCAGCCAGGAGCCAAGGAAGAGTGACAGTGCCACCCAAGGGCACGGCTGCCCCACCCGATGGGCAGCACCCGCCTGTGGGTACTAGCACGACACGAGGATCACGAAACGCGAGAACCTGGGATTCTTTTTCTTCCAGAGAAGACGGAAATCCGGACTTTGATGTGAAATCGGCCAACTTGTTAATGCTGGCAGCTAATTAAATTTTCTAGAATAATAATAACACGCTCCGAGCCAAAGCAAACAGCAGGGCGAGCCGCGGGGCTGGCGGGCTGTGCCTCGGGAGAAGGTTCTCTGACTTCACCCCTGGCGCCCCACCCTGTCCTGCTCCAGATCAGAGTGGGGAGCCGGGTCTGGCCACTCTGCCCGCCCTCCTGGGGACCCGATCTTCACCCCTATTCTCATATGGAGAAGTGAGGCCCAGGGCCTGGGTCCTTCAGTCCCAAACAGGCACCGCTTCTCCTGGGTGCCAAGCCCCAGGGAACAGAGCCCTGCCTGCCACCCAGGTCCTAGGGGTTCCCGGACCAGCACCCTTCCATCTCGGGCGCTCTGCTTGAACAAGCGCCCACACTATAGCACTTCCATGGCCACCACAGAGCTGGAAGGAGAACCCTGGGGACAGAGGCTGAAAGGGCACCCCTAGCGGGGAGCCGGAAGCACAAGAAGGGGAGGGGACAAGAGGCTGGAGAGAGTCAAACCCACCCCTGGAGGCTGAGCCCCTCCAGACCACCCAGGTGCGTGCAGCAAGGGACCCTGGCCCAGAGAAATGCCCCGCCAGCCCCCAGGATTCGGGTTCCCCACCCCACCCAGGGCTGCCCAGAGACCCACAGGTGCCTGGGGCTGTGCCAGGCTCCGGTGCCAGATTCCCAGAGCATGGGATGTCACATCTGAAGGTATGTGAGCCACACGGATCGTGTGTGGGAGACATGTGTAGCCCATGTGACGGGGCCTTGCGTGTGACAGGCGCCCACGTGGGGTCCCCTGCTGCCGCCTGCGGTGAGGGCGCAAGCTTTTAGTAAAGACACCCACCACCAAGAAGGCTGCGCGTCTGGGGACCACTTGCTCGCTTGTGTGCAGGAGCACAGCGTGCAGAGGGGCCCAGGGGAGGGGATGCAGAGGGGCCCAGGGAAAGGGGTGCAGAGGGACACCGGGAGAGGGTGCAGAGGGGCCCCGGGAAAGGGGTGCAGAGGGGCACCGGGAAGGGCGTGCAGAGGGGACCCGGGGAGGGCGTGCAGAGGGGCCCAGGGGAGGGGGTGCAGACGGGCACCGGGAGAGGGTGCAGAGGAGCCCCGGGAAAGGGGTGCAGAGGGACACCAGGAAGCGGGTGCAGAGGGGACCCTGGGAGGGCGTGCAGAGGGGCACCCGGGATGGGGTGCAGAGGGACACCGGGAAGCGGGTGCAGAGGGGACCCGGGAGGGGGTGCAGAGGGAACCGGGGGAAGGGGTGTAGAGGGGCCGCGGGGAGGGGTGCGGGAGCCTCTGGCCGGGGGCGGCGCTGGCGGGAGGCCGGGACGGGACGCGCCCCTGCGGAGGGTGCGAGACCTTCCGCTGTAGCGGTGTGTGTGGCAGCTAGAGGGGGCTGGGGACAGGG